GGAAGGAAGGAAGGAAGGAAGGAAGGAAGGAAGGAAGGAAGGAAGGAAGGAAGGAAGGAAGGAAGGAAGACTGGCTTTCTAGTATCCAATCAGAAAGAGCAGCAATGAGGTCCTGTGGCACAGGAGAGATGAGCAGTGTCATCTGAGGGTCCTCTTCTAACAAAGCAGGTGATGATGGCTAAGGAAGCTGGGTACCTAGGACCTGTGCAACAGTCCCCTGGCACTCTTGTAAAAATATCTAAGCCACTTCTTGTCAGAGACTTTGGTCTTAGAACTGCTCAGCCAGAGCGAATTGCTTCAAAAGACGTAATTATTCTTTCCTGTGGTTACCAGGAAGTCGTGACTTCCAGAGCCAGCAAAACTCTGTAGCAATCCTACTGATGAAGAGCACTAATGTCTGGTGGAGTGGAATATCTTCCAGGCATTGTTGTCTTTCCTTATTTTCTGATGCTTTTAGTTTCAAAGTTGCATTTTTTTCCCCATCAGCTCCCATTGCATGTTTTTCTTGTCACAGAGATTACAGAATGAGGTCCACTGTAGCAACACATCCCTCCTGCACTAGGTGCAGCATGTGCACAAATGCAGACAATTTCCTTGACTTGCATAGAATTATAATATATTATAATTATAATTTGACATTAGTCAAACTGTCAAAAAGTACACATCTTGGGAGTTTACTTAAAACTGTGTTCTTCAAACACTGCTTCAGACCTTCTTTACAGATAATTTCAGAATAATCTTTTCCTTTGAAACAGTCAGTGTTGGATGTGATTATGAGGACTTATTCTACATGACAATTATTTAAAATATCATATAAGAGGGTTGAGGAGGGCGTGAGGAGGGATAAAAAAAGAAAAAAGAAAAGTAGAGTGCTAATTGTTTAGACTGAGAAACATTTTAGCGTTATCAAGTACTTTCATGCTATCTAATAAGTGGAAATAACTTCTTCTTTGGCTGATGTCTTTTCAGTATATATGTTTTATTAAAGATATTCAGTATACCTGGATATTACAATGTCAACAAACCAGTCCCTCAGTGAGAAATACAGCTCAGAGACAAATTTTTATTGTCCCAAATAAGAGTGACAGAGCATTCTGGAATGTGAAGACAGCTTATAAGCATTTCCCATAAAATCTAGTAACACAAAGCTTCCTTTCCCCAAAAAATGAGGTGCTGGAACCCTTCAAAGTCGCAGTTCTATTTCTGGCTGACTCAGAGCAGGGATTTGAATTAATTTTTCTTGCCCAGAAGAACACCTGAAAAAGCAGGCCATGAAGTAATTTTTATGCTATCCTCTTGTCCCATGAATATTTAAATAGGCTGTGCAGAATATCATGGCTCTCTCAGAAAAGACTGAGGGAGAGCTACCTCTACCAAAATATTTGAGACTGCTTTATGTGCTGTGAATTGTTAGATCCCTACATCAAGAAAGGTCTTGACCTTGTGCATTTCATAATTTTATATGGATCCCTGAGCACCAGGTTATTAGACAAAATGAAAAATTAGGTTACATTTTTCTTATCTAAAATGTTGATTCTTTTACCTTCTATTTTGAATAAGCCAAAATAAAATATTCTGTTTCAGACTGAAAAAAATATTTTGCATGAACCCCAAGGGACTAGGTTTTCTTTTCAACAAAAAGGAAAAGGTATTATACACACCAGAATGAAAAAAATGACCCAAAATGAAATATTTATATTTCAATCCAGCTTTCAGATAAAAGCATACATTTCTTGAATGGCTCTAATACCTAGGTCTGATTTAAAGAGCTGCTGAATATCTCCTCTCTAATTGACTTTAACCCAGGTGCCTCGCTGAAAGCTGAAACATTCTGTAGCTCTGAGAGTCACCTCTGGAACATTGAAAAGCTGGAGGCACAAATGTCAGCAAGTTTAAGTAAACAAAGAGTTATGCTGATTTATAATAAAAGAGGCTCAGCATAGTGCTTGGTGCCAGGCTCAAGAAAGTATTCCAAGGTTTTGTAACTTCTTGTTTTAATTTTATACATGAAATGAAGAAGATTAATAATTCCCAAGTGAATCCATGGCTGGTACCATAGAGTAAAAGTAAAAAAGAAAAAGACACTGTGACTTTTGCATTTCTAAGATAATGACTCAGTATTAATTCCACAGGCATCTGAGATAGATGCTTTGTACAGAAAAAAATGTGCTGTAGCTATAACAGAGGAACTTGAATGTTAAAATAAATAACTGTAAGATAAATTGTACCTTCAGTTATACCAAAGTCAAAGTTTGATCCTATTGCTTTTATTCTATAATCACACAGAAACAGAAAATAAATTATTGTGAGGGTGTCAGTGAAGTTTATTGCATATTGCTATGTCTGCTTAGGGGAGCAAAAGTATCTACCCAAGCATAATCTACTGGACACCCTAAATTCACAGCATTGTATAGATGCCACTGAAGAATATGTTAAAAATCAGTAACAAATTGTGGATAAATTAATGTAATGGGAAAATTAATAGCACTGACACAGGAGGAGATGGAAAAGATGATAAGGGAGCAGGCATAACTGCTGGGCATGATTTTAAAATTTAGTCTGTATGAAGCAGATCTTTCAGCTTTTATGCAGGCTTATATACTTTACTGATAAGACATGCACATCTCTCCATGTGATACTTTGGTTACCCATTGTATACAGTTATCTACTTACATTTAAATATGAAGAGGAGACTGAAGAGAGGATAATGCTTAGGATCTAGTCCTGAAAGTACTAATCTGTTTATCTAGTGAAATTTGCTCATCTGTGGAGAGCACTGGGAGGTGCAGATACTGCTGAGAAGGATTTTGGGATTCAGGAACACAAGAGAATTGATGCTGATGAAGAAGACAGTTTGAATTCCTGGCTGCTGCATAAAAGCAAAGAACAACTGCTTAAATGTCCCAGGTTAAAGCCTTGTTTTATAAACTGTGTTGGACAAATATGAGACAGACTCTGCATGTGACATGATGTTAGCATTTCCAGAAAAAAAAGTCTGAATAATTGAATCTAAAAGATCAGAAGTACTTTAAAGCACTCATAACTTTGTGGATGACTTTGAAATGCAATCTGTTAGGACATAAAGTTGCATAAATAATTCTAATCAAATAGAGCTTGTGTATCTCTTCCTTGATTTTTCTTAATTAACAAAGGAAAACTGAATGTGGATTAAAAAAAAAAAAAACAAACAGACTGTCTCAGCTCTTTCCTTTATCCTAAAAAGGCAATCAAGATAGATGGAGAAAGTGAAGATGCCCTCAGCTTCTTTTCTTTCCCAATAATATTTCCTTCTTTGTACCTTATTTGGTTCCAAAAGTTTGAATATGGATTTTTTTTTCTGCCGTCCTGTGCTATAGTATTGATTCTTTCTGCCCTGCTACCTATCTTATTATTATTATTTCTATTTTTTCCCTTCCTCTTACCTTTTTTACTCCAAAGATATTTGTTGACATTGCTGAATACAAGAGCTATGTGGTTGCTAGCTGCTGTTTTCAATAGTGGCACCAGATAATTTTGTGAGAATCTCTCTCTGGCAGTGTAGCATTACAGATGAGAGGTATTACCTGAGGCACTACTGGTCCTCAGACTCACTTGCTGTGAAACATGCTAAGAAAACATGGCCTGAATCCTGAGACAATCATATGATATTTTGGGTGAAGAGGCCACTGGGAAGACTACATAGCTCCACTCTATTACTTCTAAGCTAGGAACAAAATACTTAGTTCCTGTCAGATCTCCCCTGAGGTGCTCATTACCAGGCAAAGGAAAGGATGAAAATGATGTGCAGTTATTCTAAGAAAATAAAATATGTTCTTGATTGCAAAATATTAGACCTAGTTTGAAAAAGACCCCAAGCTAATCTTAAAATAAACCCCACAATCTTGGATAGCATTCCTGTGGGTGAATGTCTTATAAGCTGTGTCTCCTCATCTTTTTCAAGTGTAGGTAACCGTTAGTGGGTTAATTTAAATTCTATTTCTTTGTCAATAATTAATATATTTCCCTTATCTCTTATGCCTTCTGTTCCCCACATATGTACAACTGAAGCATCATTTTACCTGGGGAGTCTTCTAACAGTTCATCTGCTTTTATTAAAGCTTCACCCTCTTGGGGTTTTCTTT